TCAGCCTTTGAGACAATCCACGAGACAGACGGCTTGATCGAGACCGCAAAGGAGCTGGACATCGCTTACGTCGCATACAGTCCACTGGGACACGGTTGGCTCGTCGATAACTTCGATTACAAGTCCCCGGATGACTTTGCCCCGGATGATTTCCGCCGAAACTGTACATATCTCCCCAACCACAAGCGTCCTTACCATGGACTGAACAGAATCGCTAACACAATCCCTCTCGACAGCTCCCAAATTCCAAGGCGAGAACTTCTTCAAGAACCTGGCCATCGTTGAGGAAATAAAGAAGCTCGCTGCCCGCAAGGGATGCAAGATTAGCCAAATCGCTCTCGCGTGGGTTGCCTCCCAAGGAATGATCCCTATCCCTGGAACAACTAAGGCGGCCCGCTTGGAGGAAAACTGGGCGTCTCGGGATATTGAATTGTCTGCCGAGGAAAAGCAAGAAATGCGCAATATTATCGATGCTGCTAAGCCGCACGGCAGCAGATATGGCCCCGTGCATCAGGCTATGGTTGGACATTAAGCCGAGAGATAATTAATTGTGCAGTGTGCAACAAAGCCTAGCAATTTCACTTCTCCGCTGGTCAGTTGAATTTGACTGCCTGGCAACCAACTCAGATATTCCAGTGGACCTAGAGGAATACCACAATTGAATTTGTTCCACATAACCCTCACCACATCTAGACTAACGGCGGACTGTAGAACATTGTACATACTAACGGATAGGATCCTTACAGGTTCCATCCAAGGCAGATGAAACGGGGACCCCGACAAGATCGTGGGAGCAGTAAACTCTACATGGTGGCAAGAGATGTCAGCATCACTCGTAATGGAGGACATCATTGATAGAGGTATTTTGGAAAATGAGTAGATTAGACAAAGTCAAGATCAGATTAGATTAAATCAAGTGATTGGTCTGATCGATTAATCTAAATCCCTGCAGACTAAAATAATTGTTGGTTCATCCAAGAGTTTGATCAGCTACTGCTGATACAAAGTTTCTGGTTCTGATTTGCGCGGTCGCATGGAGGTCGTATGCGATTGCTGGAGGGTGTTAACAGGTGAGTGAGTGGGCTATTAGAATATCACAATAGAACACGATCTGGACTTGTAAGCAACACTTGGTATATGTTGTAGAGTACCACGAAGCGCCTCGAGCGCTTGGGGAGAACATAATCTAGCCCCACTGGGGGCTGAACCATCCGGTTGCTAGTCCGAGCATCCCGCAGGTAGACCCTGCTCAGAGAGGCTTGGCTTTGGGGGAAAAGCCAAGGGAACACATAGAAAGCTTGGGCTAACAACGTCATCAATTCAGATTGCGCATATCTGATCAAAATCAGATAAATCAAGAATCAGATAAGAGGGTGTAAAAGTCAAATTGCGCCATGCATCCATGGATGGAGGAGCTGGAGGCGATTTGTTCCACGAAGCTCAATTGCGTTGATATGGACCTTGGAGACTCTGACATAAGATGATTCATGCACGAGGTCAACGATTCCTTGTTTCTTGGGTCCCAATTGGGGGCTGGAAATGATCTTGACTTTTTTTGTATTTTGAAGCTTCGCCCCTCCGAACCTTTGCACTCTATGTACATCGCGTGGACATGCAAGGGGCGGGGCGGATAGCCTTCTTGGTTATAGGGTAGTAAGGGGAAAAAAGAAAAGAGTGAGACAGATGATGGCATGACTCGAACACAGCAATATTGGATTATGAAGTCCGCCTAGCCCTTCAAGCGGTGTTTTGTATAAGTGGTTGACGCAAACGGGGTGGCCGCATCAAGTAGGTAGCCCTGAAAAGAGACAACTGTGACCCTGGAAACCTTAGAGGGGAGAGGTACGCTAGTCCAAAATGGGAGAGAAAGTTCAATGTCGGCCAATCAGGGCTGTTCCCCCCACACCGTCTAGGGGCAAATGAGCGATGATCGCCCGCCACCACAACCCCTGATTGGGTCAATTATCAGATCCCCAGTCCGCTCACCCCGATTATCTGATCCTCGTCGCATCGGAGACTCCGGTCGAGAGCGAAGAAAGCCAAAAAAAAAAAAAAAAAATGGGACGNACTTAGGTCTTTCTCGTCTGGAAGCTGCCGGCAATTTTCCCAGATTATAGAAAAAAGAGCCACTCCAGCGTCGCAGATCTTTCCTTTCTTCTCTTCCATCCTCCCATTACGCCCTATACTCCAGTTTTGTTTATCCTAATATAGCCTCTCCGAAAGCAACTCAGGGTCTGGCATACGGGCTAGGCTCCCTGCGATCGGACGGAGAAAACACCCAGCGATGGGTCTCCTTACGGCAGCTGAAGGTCGTGATGACGACAAAAACATCGACCGGACTATAGTTGGAGAGGAAACACATGGCTCGCAAACTACGAAATCGGAGGCACGCGGGGCCAACGGCGATAGTCCATCACAATATGATCCCGAATCACCCCCATTATCGGACGGCTCTCACGCGGGCGATATGTTCGACGATGAGAAGGAATTGGCACAGCACCCTGACAGTATCACGGAAGGTGCTCAGTTGGGTCAGCAGAAGGCAGAAGCAGCGGCACTCTCCTGGAGCTGGCCAGCTTTGGTTGGAATATATGCCTGGTAATAAGATCCTAGTTTATTTGTTGCGGCCTTTGCGATGAAACCCATTTTCTGACAATGATTGAATTTGCAGGATCTGGATCTGCACATTTATGTTGGCATTTCACTCGAATATAAGCGGCTTCCTGATCAACTACATCCAGGGAGGCTTCAAGACCGCACCCCAGGTCTCAACCTCCTATATCCTCGCAAATATTGTGGGCGGTGTTCTTAAGCTGCCGCTTGGTAAGACCCTGAACTTGTGGGGTCGTGCTGAGGCCCTGGTGGTCTCCACCAGCATTTACCTTCTTGGTATGGTCATCCTCGCCGCATGTGAGGGTCCCAATGGATATGCGGCGGGCTATGTGTTGTACTGGATCGGGTACTACTGCCTATACCTGATCTTGAACGTTTTTGTCGCCGATACCTCGGGTCTAAGAAACCGAGCGTTCGCTTTTGGCTTTATGCAGACTCCGTTCATCTGTACTGCTTTCACAGGCAGTATTGCAGCAAACTCGATATATGCCAGGTACGGATGGCGCTGGGGTTATGGCATCTTCTGCATCGTGATGCCGTTTGCATTCTTGCCCCTCGCCATGGCTTTCAAGTACTTCGAGAAGAAGGCGGAGAAAAATGGCATCTTTCGACGACAGCCCAGTGGTCGTACTGTTGGACAGTCTATCATCCACTATATTCATGAATTTGATGGTAAGGATACCCAAATAAAGCTCGGGTTATTGACACTAACATGATTACTAGTCATTGGCGCTTTCTTGCTCATGGCCGGTTGGGTGCTGTTCCTCCTGCCATTCAGTTTGGCACAATACGGCCGCTCTACCTATTCAAGCGCAAAGTTTATTGTTCTCCTCATCCTCGGAGTTTTTATGTTGTGTATCTTTGCAGCATGGGAGAAATGGGTTGCACGAACCCACTTCATCCGCTACGAGTTGATCAAGCGGCCAACCATTCTAGGTGCCTGCATCCTGGCCGCCGTGCTGTTTTTCAGCTTCGAGCTCTGGGATCAGTACTTCTACAACTACGTCCTGATATCCTACGATATTTCCCCGGTCCACGCAAATTACATGATCCAGATTTACAACGTCGGCTCCTGCTTCTTTTCTCCCATTATTGGAGCTGTCATCTGGGCCACTGCGCGCTTCAAATACATCTGCCTATTCTTCGGAGCCCCGCTCATGATCCTCGGCTCCGGGCTGATGATCTACTTCCGTGGTGCAGACCACGGCATTGGCTATGTTGTTATGTGTCAGATCTTCATTGCCTTCGCCGGTGGCACCCTCGTCATCGGCGAAGACATGGCCGTTATGGCGGCAGGTGGCCGCGAGGGCACTCCAATGATGCTGGCCCTCATTGGATTGTTCTCGAATATCGGCGGTGCGATCGGCTTGGCTGTTGGCGCTGCTATCTACAACAACGTCTTTGTCGATACCCTCACGAAACAGTTGCCGGATAACTTGAAAGCCAACGCCACTCAGATCTACCTCGGCGGTATCACTGTGCAGTCAACTTACCCATGGGGAAGCCCTCTTCGCGAAGCTGTCGCGTATACGTGGGGATATGCCCAGCGCTTGAACTGCATTGCCTCTACTGCCATTTTGGCTTTGACTATTCCTTGCATTCTGGTCTGGAAGAACTACGACGTTAACCTGAAGCAGAACAAGGGTAAAATGATCTTCTAAAACGACTTTCCATTGCACAATATACCCAGTTGACGCACGGGTTAGGAAGTTTTGTTCATATTTCGCGTTGTTTTGGATGTGCTGCATTCTCTGCCGTGCAGAGCAAGGGCCACTACCTTAAATGTACATTTTTTGCAACTATTTTATTCAGTGTGAATGGTATCAACACATAACATATATATTTCACTGCGTTACCGCCGAGGTGGTTGGTTATTCTTGAAATTATTAGAACAAAATAATTTACGATTATTCATTTTGTCTGCCTCTATGGCTCAATTAAATACATTGTAGCCACACTGGATCCTAAGCCCAAAAACATTCTCACATTCCTGACAAGACGACGGCAAGAAGACCGCGGTGGGGCCTGACCCTAACCCGCGATTGGTGGAAGACTCATACATCCAAAAGCTCGACTTTCATTTCACCTCTTCCTTTTAATCATTGAAATCACCCCCAAGGTGAGATATTAAACTGTATTTGCCATGCCTCCATCTGCGGCAATGAATCTGCGCAGTTCCTTTGGTGATCGGAAGATCCCTGATATTTCGCGAAAGATAACGGCATGTGTCTTGTGTCGCAAACTCAAGGTGAGGACCACACAAGTTCCAAAAAGAGAATCACACCCTAATATCCTGGAAGATCAAATGTCATATGAATGATAATAATCCCCTTTGTAATCGCTGCAAGGTGCGTGGGCTTGCATGTTCTGTCAATAAGAGCCTGCAGATGCTCTTAGAGAACGATGCTTCGTATGTTGTCCCCACAGCCTATGGTTTCACTTATAACCTTTGCTTTCTATGATCTGATGAATAAATTTAGATGGAAAGAACAGCTGGAAGACCGAATCAGCAAACTTGAAGAGTCTATCACACAAAACACAACGCAACCTTTAAGGATTGCCTCAGGCAACGTGTCTCCGCCGCAGCGACTTAGTTTCAACAGCGTTGAAAATGACACTCCCAGAGTTTTATCTAATTCACTACATTCGGAGCCTTCTGCTACAGTCACTTTGAATCTGTCATGCAGTCTTGGCGCATTTCCAGCATCGTCAATGATCACTCTCACGATGGGTGATATTGGAGCAAATCCAGGACGAAACCCCGACCTAGTTTCTTGTGGAATTATCTCACAAGCAATAGCGGAGGAACTCTTCACATTTTATAAGCAAAATCTGAACCCTTGCATTCACAATATCCTCACCGACAACGACACTTTAAGCACTATCCGAACACGCTCTCCTCTCTTCACCACTGCAATATGCACAGTATCTGCCTTATGTACTGGCTCGGAGGACTATAATGCCCTGCTAAAACATTTCACAACCCAAGTCTCTGGGAAAGTATTTTCCAGCAGCCACACATTTGACGATGTCCGCGCGCTGTGTATCGGAGCTTTATGGTTGAACGAAATCTCCACCGCGCTGAACAGTCTAGGTGAGCGATAGTAACACCGATGGTTTCAAACCCTTGCTTATCAATATACTAACAATTCTTAAGCTGTTCGCATTTCCACAGAGCTGGATCTACACAGGTGCATCACAAAAATGCCCCACACAAAACGAGCCTGCTACGACCGTACTCGCCTATACTGGCTGGTATACCTCTGCGACCACCACTGCTCTCTCATCCATGGAAGACCACCCCTAACACGAGACTTCAACTCATTACGAAGACCGCGGGACTTTCTGCAAAGTTATTTCACCAACCCTTCTGACTTGAGTCTTATCAGCCAGGTCGAGCTATGGTCCATGGGTAGTCGTGTATTTGACGTGTTCGGCGCTGATATTGAATGCAGTGAGGCTAGTCAGCGATCGGATAAACTGGCACAGCTGAGTGCTGCGTACGATGGATGGTTGGAGGAATGGCTTTCCATGCTTTCCTTCACGAACGCACCTGCTACATTTTCACGTCGTGTCTTTGATCTTTATTTCTATTCTGCTAAATTGTATCTGTTCTCGCACATCTTTCGAGGTTCATCTCAGGATGCAAAACTCCCTGAAGCTGGGCCTGAATGTGAGTCTGATATTGGTGCGGATAAGTTCGCGCACGACGCGGTGAGAAGCGCTCTGGCAATCATCAGGTGTATTGTGGATGACAACCAATCATCCTCATGGCTGGGAAAGTTACCAAACTATATTGGAACCATGGTGGCATTCGCCTGTGTCTGCCTCGTGAAGGTATCCGCCCAGCAAGGACCATGGGACCGTGACCTGCAAGGTATTCCCAACTATCTTCAGCGACTAGTCCAGGTCCTCCTCTCGTCACCGGTTGTCAGCCATCCCACGCATCCATTGTTGAGCATTGCCAGGAGTCTGGAGACCGCTACTGCGGTCGCTGGAGGTGTACATGACCAAGGCTCTCTAGCCTCGATTGATATGCGAGATTTGGATCTCGATTTAGCATTTTTTGATATGTTTACCAGCGATGGGTTGAATGGGTGTCCTGATAGCCGCAGTGCATTTTCAGGGATGTGAGGTCAATACTCAAGATACGGGTTTCATGAAGTTGAGTTCTTCTCTCATGTCGCATATTGCAAATCGAACCAGATAATGAGATGAGATCCCTGCAGTAAGAATCTATGATCTTCTTTTATTACTCCGTAGAGATATGTAGCTAAGAATAAAACATTGGAATGCTCGGCCCGGCTCGCTTCCGCCTGATATAGCCGAGTCAATTTCTGCAAGTCCTGAAGACAGACAAATATTGTATCCACTCTGTATTTCTTGGCATTTGCGCATTACATCAATTGCTCCGAGCATTTAAGTGGTCGGAATGCCAAGAAATGCTCGCGAAAGATACATAGTTCATTTACCACCAAGCCAACCACAGAAAGGTTCTGAAGTATTATGAGTACTCAGATAGCTGGGATTTACTGAAGATTATGTATTTCTTTAAAATCAAACATAATTTTGATTTATATCTCTTTTTCAAGGGACACTAATAGATACATCGGCACTGAGATAAATAAGTACTGCTAGCAGGACGAACCGAACCGAGCCGGGCACTTCATTTCATTCTTAGCTAAATATTGTCTATCCGAATAATAAATAAAAAGCCGATTCAGTATCTCCGTGTCGAAACTAGAGACAACCCCAATCACACCGCGTGACCGGACCAACGTAAGATTTTAGGGCCAGAGCCAAGAAATCGAGCCATGAAGCTTTCCGTCCCAGTGCACAATTTTTATGTAGACTCCCCTTGGAAGTGGAATCCGGTGGATCTTTTTTGTTTGCGGGGAACAAAGCTTGGAACAACACCGCTACCTCTGCATATTGTCAAAATGCAAGTTCCAATATTCCAAATGTGCTGATTCGGAGTTCCCCCGACTCCAAGGTTGATTATGCATTCTCTGCTATGGGATTGCGCGTCGAACCATGCTTTATGAGATTCAATTATAATCTATGCACAATACATAGTGTGACTAGAGTTTTATTCGGCCCAATCAACTATCCGATCATTAGGGACCAGATGTCTTCGGCCAAATTAGTGAGTTTACCCGGGTGTTAGGGGTCAGTTGTAAGATGCACCCTGTGGTTATGCAAAATGCGGACCTCTTTTGCCCGCAGGTGTTGCCCGCGGGTGTTCAAAGGTAATCCCGAAGCTGGTGCTCGTTTATAACAGGTAGATTCCCGTTGGCGTTTGATTATTATTATTGCGCTCCTGAATTCTCTTTTTTCATTAATTCTCCTAACTGGAATTCTCGCCTACAACCCCATTACTACCCCTCACAGGCTCACGGGTCTCGATTTCAACCATATCGATCCTAACCAAGATCAAATAGAACCAAAAACAAGTTGTGACACGATAGCTATTTGATACTATTTTTATATTGGAGATAGCAACACATCTTCCAAAATGAAGGGTGGCTCAGGTAAGGGGTTCTCTATCTCTCTAATTTGTCTAATCTGAAGATGATCCCCACCACATAGCGCCAGCGAAGAGAGCAATATCTAAAGAATTGATGCAGAAACCCCTTCCGTCGATGGATCGACATTAAGCGCTCACAACCGGGAAAAACTTGGAACTGATCTCGAAAACGGCCCCCTCGATCTCAGTGATACGGCAAAAGAGGAAAAAGCGAGAGATCCGAACATCGTCGATTGGGATGGTCCAGACGATCCCGAAAACCCTCTCAACTGGGCCTCGGGAAAGAAAATAAAAGCAACATGTTCTATTGCACTGATCACGTTTCTGACGTATGAACGGTCCTTCATTATCATTCAGATGATCAAAGCTAACCTCTGGTACTAACAGCCCTCTGGGATCATCTATGTTCGCCCCTGGCGTAGGTCAACTAGTCAAAGACTTCAATGTGACTAGCATTGAACTTTCATCCTTCGTGGTATCGGTATACCTGCTGGGATACTGTTTCGGTCCTCTGCTCATAGCACCTCTATCGGAATTATACGGTCGACAATACGTCTACCATGTGTGCAATGTTCTCTATGTAATCTGGACCATTGCCTGCGCCTTTGCGCCCGAGATGGGCAGTCTTGTCGTCTTCCGATTCTTCGCTGGCTTTGCCGGTAGTTGTCCGCTGACTATTGGCGCCGGGTCGATTGCGGATATGTTTGCACAGGAGCAGAGAGGCGGTGCGATGGCAGCTTGGGCTCTTGGTCCTTTGATTGGGCCTGTCGTCGGTCCAGTTGGTATGTTCATTTTCCTCATATTTTCTTAGTTGATAGCTGGATTGCTGACGTTGTTTAGCTGGTGCATATCTGGCACAGGCAAAGGGTTGGCGATGGAGCTTCTATGTGCTGGCTATGGCTGTAAGTCGAGACTGTGAACCCCAGCGCAGAACACATACTAATAGATCTGACAGGGTGGTGCTATCACTATCAGCTCGATTGTGACCATTCGTGAATCCTACGCCCCGACTATCCTCGCTCGGAAGACCAAAAAGCTCCAGAAAGAAACTGGGAATATGAACCTGCGCTCTGCACTCGACACAGGCCGTACACCGAAGGAACTCTTCCTATACTCCATTGTGCGACCGACGAAGATGCTCTTCCGCTCCCCGATCGTCTTCCTTCTTTCACTTTACGTCGGCGTCATTTATGGATACCTCTATCTGTTGTTTACAACCATTACCTCCGTATTCGAGGAGCAGTACAATTTCTCTCAGGGATCAGTCGGACTCACCTATCTCGGTTTGGGCGTTGGCTCTTTGATCGGTCTGTTCATTCTAGGAGCAACATCTGACAGACTGCTCAACTATCTATCCACCAAGAATGGCGTGACAAAGCCCGAGTATCGGCTTCCACCTATGATTCCAGGGGCGTTTTTTGTTCCCATCTCACTGTTCATGTATGGATGGACTGCCTACTACAAAACCCACTGGATTGTGCCTATCATCGGTACCTCCTTCCTTGGCACTGGCATGATGATCACCTTCGTAAGTTATCTTCCCCCTAACTAGTGACTCTTTTTTACTGTGGATTGACCAACTGACACTTGGACTTGTTGTCTAGATGTGTGTGAGCACATATTTAGTAGATGCGTTCACAGACTACGCTGCTTCCGCCATGGCGGCCAACACAGTGTTCCGTTCACTGGCAGGTGCCATGCTTCCCCTTGCCGGTCCGAAAATGTATGATGCCCTGGGACTTGGTTGGGGTAACTCGCTACTTGGATTCATTGCTCTGGCATTTTGCGCATTGCCAGTCGCTTTTTGGGTTTATGGCGAACGAATAAGGACAAGTCCAAAATTCCAGGTCAATTTCTGACCGGGTTTGCAGTACTCGCTTTAGGCACTGTTGGGGTATTGCGTCTACTTTTGCCTTTGCAAAACACAATTTGTAGTATAGATACGAGAGATGTTGAAGATGGATATTATTCGAGGGTGTGGGTTGGTCCCATGGATTTAATAGACGTGGGAGACGTTGAAGACGGATATGTTTCGAAGTGGGTTAGTGCCATGGGGTTTAAAACAATAGAAAAAGCACATCTACTGAAAAGTTTGCGCGTCAATTCTGTATACTGAATGGTAGCTGCTCCTCCAAACAAGAACATCGATTTCAGCTCCCGAGGTTCAGTAGGGCAAGCTCCATTCACACAACGCACGCATATACAAATTACCTAGGTACATATGTAGGTCAGGTCTATTGCTTTGACGCCTGAGGCCCCAGAATTGGATGCCTCCAATGCTCACGGCCCTTCATTTCTCTAGTAGATGATAGGAGGCGTTTAACGGGGCTGCAAGGGCTTGTCACTGCCTCGACAGCGTGTCTAGGCAGTATTTCCAGGCCCGTGGGACATTGGCAGAGCAAACAGACGAAGTGGGTGCTGATTGGTTCAATATTCATATCAACCGTGTAAGGTTCGTAGATATTTAACTAGGTAGAACCCGAGCCATTGGGCACTAACTTGGTAACCACATTGCTTACTCTTGATTGTGGCTAGTGTTCACTTCAGTTTTAACGTATTTCACAACCGAGTGGGTTAGCCAGTTCGACCTAGACCCATTACTGGGTCGTGCGGAAGACTATGTTTAAACCATTTTAATCACAATTGTATATCTCCTAATAGATTAATTGTTATGAAATAAGTATAGAAATCGAAGAAGATTAATCTTTAACATGGGATACTCGACTTTTGGCATTAAAGCCGCGGGATTTAGCCATGGCCGTCGATTGCGGGGCTTTATAGGCATTATACAGGCTTAATAGGTGCTTTCTTTTGGGATATAAAGTTATAGCATGTTAGAGCGAGAGAATTCCTTGATTAAATGATATCGGATTCTATAGATAGCTACATCACTTCCCCACGCTCTTTGTTCTATGAAGATCCAAGGATAGATATTTTAACGATTTCCATTACGCAGAAAACGAATTGTGAAGACCTCCTCGTTCTTATGACTGATTTCTCAAAAGTCATATCACTGCAATGCTTTCCTCGGGCTTAGAAGACATCTAGATACAATTGGCGGGTTAGGGTAGAATTGTCTTCTACGAAAAGTTCAGCGAGTAACTACTGGTTACCCAAGGCAACAAAACCAGTGTTGCATATTGACCGTCGAACAATGCATGATCTGTTTTCTACAAGCCCTGATGCCAGTGAATACCTGATAATGCAGGATTTATAGAATCATCAGAGGTAGGTGTATACGGACAAGCATCACTCGGTTGCTCCGGCTCTGTGATGATATAGTTCTTGATCTTGGCTTTTCCATCCCCGACAGCGTCGATTTGATTCTTCGCGCATGTTCCCTTCAGCGCCCAGAGGTAGCATGTTGGGGAGGGGGCTGGTGGTAGCCTATCTGTGTGCGTGGATGCCGAGGTGCCATTAGTTGAGTAGCTGGGTGTGATCTCGACCTCGCCCGTCTCCACATCCTTGCCATTCATCACACGCCGGAAGATCTCCAAAGCAGCTTCCGGTTGATACGAGGGGACCATATGACCAGACTGGTAGATACGGCTGAAGGAGAAATTCCCCTGCTGGCGCACCTGGCCCCAGACGTCTGAGCCATCGGCATTGCTGATATTCGCGTACCCAGCTGCTTGGAATGCGGTGGATGACTCATATTGTACGTCAAGACTGACCCTTTCCCCTCCCACCCAGTTACAGGCGAAGTCTCGATCTCCGTACACCAATGCTACTTGGACATTGTGCTCGAGGAGATAGGCAATGTCCCCGAGGTAACCTAGGGAGTCTCGACGCGCGTAGTCACCGGTGAGGTTGAATGCCCTCCCAACTGTGTTAGAGATCAGGGTGAAGTTTACGGGGACTCCTAGTGCCTGTTGGGCCTCGGCCTCGGCCAAGTAGCCGATGAAGTAGTTGGCGGGGAATGGGTCCAGGCTGCAGTGGCCGATGTCGTAGAAGCCTCGGTTACTGGTGAAGATGTATGCCGCTTCGACTTCTGCCTGGCAATTTGTGCTTGTGTCGAAGCATGCGTTGTTGACCAGTGTGACATTGCCGTACATATGGGGATCGTGCTTTGCGGCCAGATGAAGACAGTTGTCGATCTGGTCTTGACACCCGGATGGCTTCTCGTAGTCCTCGATTGCATCAGCCCATTGTGTCCTGTCAATCGCAGTCACTCCAAAGGTGTTTCGGTTGTAGGCGTAATCCGGATCAGCTGTTTCTTGTTTGCGAAGGTCAATGCATCCGTTGATAACGCCCAAGGTGTCCAGGTTTATCGGAGTGAAGGTGTCAGGGGCAGTGATCTTTTCATTTTGCTGATGGAAGTACGCCGCGAAGCCGGGACCGTAGCGCCCGCCGTAGGACTCTGTCCAAATGCTGACTCGATCGTTCTCGGATTGGTCCTTGTAGACATCGAAATCTTGAAGCCAGACTTGGGCAAAGTTCCAGAGATGCCGCGCGGCGTTAGCAGTGGTGTTGGCCGTGGACGTCAGCGTTTGGCTGCTAAACGTTCCGGTCTGGTTGAAGGGACCTTGAGTGTCAGAATCTGGAATGACATCCCCACTCAGCAGGTCCAAGGTTCCGTTGGTTGCGATATCGTAGCTGAAGCCAGTCTGGACCGGTTGGTCAATATAGAGCATGTTCGAATGCTTCGTCCAAGCGTACTCATTGCGGTACGTGGATTGGGAGTCATTTTTTACAGGGCAGGGACCATTTTCTGTAAACGCCCCGAACATCGACGATCCCCCGGGCCCACCTTGGAGCCATATCGACAACGGGGACGTCGCCGGGTCCGACTGGGATTTGAAGTACCAGAAGAATAGGCTTACGGGGAAGTCTTGGATTGCGTCCTTCATCGTATTCGGTGGAAAATTGACATAACCGGCGTATGATTCTGACGCCGAGTCACAGAAGTTACCCTAGCCATTCATACCTTAGCCTAGTTCGATATAGTTCGGTAAACTAGGGTGTCTTCTTACCGGCACCTTCTTGTAACTGAGCGTGACACCAAGAAGAACTTTGGAATCAATCCACTTTAACCCCTCCGGAGGGGGAGGGTACTGAGCGAAAGCCTGCCCAGAAAAGAGCACCGCACCGATAATTGTAGGTATGATCATTGCGAAGTTTTCACGAGGTCGGCATGCAGTGAGGATGGAATCAAGCAGGTATTCTGGTTAACTGGCATGAAAGGGAAGAGATTTTATGTGCTGTGTAAGAGTGAAACAAGGAAGGATTATTTGAGTATTTACATAAAAGTGTCTTCGTTACATCATAATCATTGCCAATGGGAGAAACCACAACTATGCTCATTCCTGGCCAGGACAACATTCTCTTCTCATTTTTTTGTTTGCAGCGGAGTGCCTGAGACGTCCTCCACCAAGTAGAAAACACTGTACCAGAGGGTTATTATCTATGGCCTACAAGCACACTGAATTTACACGTCACAATACTGTGTCGCTGTACTACTAACCATGTTCTGTCTTGTTACCAGAAGCAAAACAGGGGAACTCAGAGGGAATGTTAGGCGAGGAATTTAGCTAAGGACTGTTGTACAGCATATGGACTGCATTTGGCTTTACCTGTATAATGCTATTATTTTGTGGAGCTTCATCTCGACAAGGGTCTGGCCGCCAGAAACACTTCAGGGAATAAGCGGAAAAGACCAGGTCCAGGTGCCAGAAGTGAGCAGACCTGGAACGGATAATGTGGGCAGAGAGAAGAGTTCAGAAACATCATAATCATCCTCACTGTCTATGATAATACCACCTCAGAAAGTGGGATCATAGTCCGCATGCATCGACTCAGCTCTGCCACATATCCTAATTATTTCAACGAGAGTGGACTGGAGTCATACTCAGACGCAATCCATCCAGTGGCTAACCCCAATATGTAGGTGCGCTGGTATTCTTGGGCGACATGGCCCATCGCACCATCAATGAAGTTGTACCGATGGAGATGTTCGGATGCCGTGACATTCTCAATCTGGATCTAGGTTCCTTCCGTTACTGTAAAATTTGGGGAGCGCAGCTCGCCAGGTCCTTGCCACCTATAAAACCGTGACATTTTACATAACCAAATAGTCTACGCAACTACCGTCACCGAAACTGATCGTTGAAACTTTGCACAGAAGTATGATCGTCACTCGGAAGGAAATATGTCTGAGCAACGTGATTTGATATCATTTGAGTCATTTTAGTCCTTCTGCCAGTGCCCCAGATGAGTTCGGACGGAAAAATCCGCCGGTTTACCCGCCAGTACTTTTAGGACTGAGCTAACAACCATCTAGGCGTAGACGCGGTATTCTAGGGTCTCCTTACTTGATTAGGACAAGAGCGCCATTTCTATACACGAAATGGAGTATGTACAAGTGGTACGGAGCGAAAAGATCATCCATACCTTTGGTGTTTTTTCGCTCGAATGCATGCATACCCGAATGCGAGATTTTTACCCAGATCTGCATCTAACCTCAGCGTACCATCATCCTGTCAAAATTCCATACCCTGAGTCGAAGTCATACAAGTAACGGTAGTGTTGGAGTGGAGAAGAGATGGAGAACGTCGCGACAATCATGGAGGAAATGTGGAATCACCTTTGTCGTCTCGATGCTTGTGTCTGACGCAATTTCTAAGAACTCATGATAGACTTGCCTACACCTGGCCAATTCCTGTTCAAGGATAGCATTGAGCACACAATATCGACTCCTCAAACTATCCTCCGTATCGCTTTGAAGTTCAAATATTCTTTCCATACGTTTAACAAACGTGATCTAGTCTTTAGCCAACTTTCTCTTATCGTTAGAAATCATACCCTTCGCATCAGAAAGGTCTTCTACTCTGCCGCCACAATGCCCGACGAAGAATATTCAAAAATTGTGGGTGAGCTCAAAACGCTGATCGAGAAAAACGGATTGGTAGGCGACTTTGCTCGCGGCATTGAAAAAGGATTTGGTTAGGCCAAAAAGACCTTCTCGAAGCCGGAGGATACGAGGGTAAAGATGTTTAGGAGACTGTGACGTCCTTCCTGGATTTCTGTGATCGCTATGTGAAATGGGTGCCCACTACCACGTCTAGAAGGGATGAAGCACTCTGGATGCTGTCGGTGTTCTACTTTGTTTTTGATCAATGCCCAATATTCAGGAAGGACAAGCAGACTCCCATAAGCCCGGATGCTACTCCCGATCAGGCAGCCGTATCCCACTGGCGTCACAGTTATGCGAGAAAACTTGGCGAGCCCCAGTCAGTGGAAATTTGGTCCAGTACAAGGTAATTACGGGAGACGTCTATCTTGAGGTAACTGCGGACGTAAATCGTCAGCGAATTGGACATATTCCGCGATTCATGAAGCCGCACCAAGGTCTTAATCAACCCAATGATGTTGAAGCCCAAGATACTCCCGGCTACCAATGGAATCAAGTCCGTGGCATGTGGGTATTTGATACGTCCGAATCGGAAGATATTAATATCGGCACCGTGGTCCTTTTCGCTGTTTGTATGGCCCAAATCTCCTCTGTCATAACTGACGTGAGTCCCAGAGACAATGGGACGCGTAAGTATTGCTATGGACGCGAACGTGCACTGATCACGGAAATGCTATTATTTTCCTGAACGATGTCTTAACTTGCAAAAACAATAAAATAAAATAAAATAAAATAAAGAAGAATGACAGGCAAGGGGGCATATTCGAAGAAAAGCAGAAACCGTCCCCATATAAATTCTCTCCATACCAAAGCCGCATGACACCCTGTTATGCTTGTTATGACCGGATTAGAGGCACAATACGTACCACAGAAGGGGCCATCAGACGGGTTGTCAGACGGGCCGGAAGTTTGTAAGGACATTCCAATGGCCTTGTACAAGATTCATTTTCCGCAAGGGAGTGCCATTTCGCCTCTCCTGGCGTATGTACTAGGGGCTGTCTGGAATAATATATCTATTTTTTCAATATCTGTTTCGAAGAGAGTGAAACCTTGATTGAGCTATTAGGAAAGTGACCATTCAGCCAGAGCATTGAATCTATCGGACTGTGTACATACTTCTACTTTCCATTCCTTCTAAGAGAAGGATATCATCTATTATACAGAATATACCAAGGACCTGTCAGGCCCTAATTCTGTAGTTGCTGGCAACAAGTCGACAATCCAAGGGGGGAGGGGAGGAGACAGGCCTTATGAGAGAGCGGAGACAGAGATGGAAATAGGAATAAGAAAGAAACACTCGCCCGTTGGCTAGGATGGTACTTTTACTTCGTAGTACTAAGTCCCTGCATAGAATTCAGCCACCCAATGGAACAAAGTCTGGCATGCAGCTGTGTACTGTAGTGACGGCGGCGTCATTTCCATTACTCGGTTACCTCTACATAAGCTCGCGGCACAACCCGCCGGATTATCCGCAATTCTTCTCTGATGGTTGTAGACCAAGTCGCAGCTCTCAATTTTGATGTGGCATGAGCTGACTGGTTCTGTTAACTACTAAGGTCTTAGACTACTGCCCGCGAGAGAGTATAAAGTATTAGCTAGACGTAGACTACAGTATCTGAAGTTTAAAGGGCCTAATTTGCTAAAATTCACAAGAATATGCCTCTGAGAAATAACTTGCAACTCGAATTAAGTTCATAGAGACTTCACAACGGCCAGGGTGAGCCCACATCAAATCGCTTAGACAGCTTCCGTGGTAGTCCATAACCCTACTTTTTAGGTACAAAAGGTCTCGTTGCTTCCTCCACCGCAACCTGCTCATTGGATTCCCTTCTGTGAGTGAAAACCTTGTTCAGGTAATCTGGAAAGGCTCGGTCGGTCTTCCCTTTGATAGGATCTCCATAGGTCTCCCAAATCGGAATCGCACCTTCCCAATACTTTCTTCCGTCGCTTGTTTCCCAGTCAGGTTCGTAGCCCAAGACGCCCAAGCGCTCATGCAGGCGAGATGTACTCTTGTCAATTTCAACTCGGAGAACTGGAACACGCTTGACTTCTTCATCCTTGAAAGGACGCCGAGTATCATTCCATCTGTCCTCACTACCAAACATTCCCGTGACTATGTTGAACAGCGCCCATAACTTCTCATTCTCCTTAATGATCTCGTCGTCTTTGACCTCCTCCTTGCACGAGGAAATATGCTCGTTGTAGGGGAGCAGAGATGCATGTCCGTTAATCACAGCAGACCTAAAGGTGATGCCGTGACTGAAAGGTGTATAGCCACAGTAATAACTGTACACCTTGCTGGCTGTAACTGTGACCTTTGGGTGATCCTCTGGGTTGCTAAAAAGCACCAAAACCTCTTTTGGGACGTAACCATGAGCATACACGACATCATGATTGGGATTTTTCGGGTCCGGCATCATTCCCCCAATCAAGTTGATTACAGTCGGAAAGCCACCTTTGTCGAGCAGTTCGGGGAAGGTAAAATGTAAGATATGGGCAGTGTTGATGACCTTCTTAGCTTCACCAGCTTTACCGGGGTCGTCCCAGTCATCTACCATGTAAAAATGAGTTATAGGTTAACAGGGCTTGCATTATAAGCGTAGAATGACAATTGGTTACCATGGTGATCTTTCAAGTTGGGTTCGTAACCCTCACAAGTCTCTGCCATTTTATATCTTTGGGAAACGTAAAATGATCAGGAAGAATAACTGGTAGAAGAGAAACACGGAAGAACAGGAGAGAATGTTCTGAAGTGATCATGAAAAGAGAGTGGAGGACATAGGATATCTTCCATGTATTTGTATCCCGGATCAAGGAACACAGACAAAGTGAAGACACCGAATAGTCATAGCCAATGTCGCCCTTCATTCCCTGTGGTATTCGAGATACCGGAAAGAACGACCTATTTCCGCTCTCGTCGCTCTCATTGTTACATTCCGCACATTTGGTGCGGTGTAACAATCCATACATACATCGTGGTGATTGGTGATTTGGTACAGCTGATTCTTTCAACCGGCGAAACTTGACTGAGTGTTGGTCAAAATCAGGCTGGGAAGGGGGGTATAATTCCCCTTACAGATCTCGACTACATCTACGCCGTAAGCATATGTATGTTTTCAGTAGCAGATTTACATTTACATACGTGGTTGAGAGATGAGAAGCTGAAATACTACAGTAAACCCGATTAATTAAGGCGCTATTTAACTAGAAAAACATGTAATTAGGCTGGGATTTCGTATCAGGGACTTTTCTCAAGCTCCATGGAGGATATATTCTTGGACGGTGAACCGAATGCCGGGGTGTCTTCCCAATCATTCAATCCCCAGATTTCTAGGTAGCGGTGCTCGGCGTCACGAAGCCGAACACTGATTTGAACTAGGGTATCCTCCATCGTATGTGCTATGTTGTACATCTGCCCCTGGAACTGTAGCTGGGCCTGTTTGATCTCCGCATGCTACAAGAGCTCAGCTTTTGAGTAGCTAAGCTTGTATGCAAGTCCTTACAATAAACCTTGCGCTAAGCCTGAAGCGTGTAGAAGTGTCCCCCACGGGGGACACTTCTACACGCTTCAGGCTTAGCGCAAAAATAGGCTGAAATCTTCGATGTATCACTTAGTTGGCCTTCCAATTTCTCTTTCTAAGGTGACGTGCCTTATGCTAAGTCCGAAACGTATAAAAGTATCCCTACCTGGGACGGTTTATGATACGCGGTGCGTTGTACTAAGCCCGAAGCGAGCCGTAGTCTCCCTGTCAAGAACGGATTTTTCTCCGCACGGTCAGAAAGGCTCAATATCTTCGATCTAGAACTTAATTGACCTTCCACTAAATCCTTCCAAGGTGCCGTGGAGCATAAAAAATAGCCAGGAACCCACCACATAAGGCAAAATTTTGCTAACATCTAGACCCTCGAGATAGATATCCTATATAATACCTACGTCCTTCCAATTCCTCTAATCCCAAACATAATCATATACCACACACATATCCATTACTAAGTAATCCGAATCCTAAAGCGTCCAGCTCGAGTCTCATATATATTCCCGGTGAACCCTTCCTAGGTGCTCCTTCATGTTATCCTTCCGGTTGAAGGTCTTTTTACAACTAGGGCATTCAATGGAGCCCGGATTGACATGTTGGGTCCTAATATGACGCATCAACACACTTTCGCAGCTGAATGCGCCGCGGTGCTTACAGTCTATCCACTGACATTCAAAAGAGCCGTAGCGATCCCTGACAAACATCTTGTCAATGCTAGTTTCCAATGTGAGAGTAGTTTTCTTACTCTTGTTTCTTGGCTGGGCGACCACGAGCACGATGTCCCCGAGTAGTCGGAATACCGCTATCTTTGGGCGGACTTGGTTGTTGCACAGTAGACGCAGAGTACAAGGCTTCGACGCCAACGGTGTTCTCAACTAGAGGGTGATGGTTTGTAGCTGGGCCTTCGATGGTACCATTCCACTGGACCGGGAGGCCCTGCATAGCACCCTGGTCCATATACTCCAGATTGAAAGGAGCAATGGTGGAAGGCAAGGCAGAGTTAGGGTGAAGTAGTGCTGCACCAAGCGACACACGGGGGTTGTAAAAGCCGTACTCAGTGGATAGTGGCTCTGCGGCAGTAACAAAAGGTGCTTGAGTAGCAGACGTCTCCTTGTAGAAGGTAGAGTCCTCGTTCCCAACGTCATGAAGTTGGGGTAGACTCGAATAGTCCACTTGGTTATTGCGCGATGGCCATGCCATCTCGAATATAGTAGTGGTAGGGTAAGACTAGACTGGTACGAGATTGAGACGTTGAAGGACGATCAAAATGTGTGTTTTCGAGTCCATTCTCAGGCTGAAGAAACGGGCTATTTATGTAAATCATTCTCGAGGGTCTTTAAAAAATCAAGTCAGGCTCAATATGTACATTACATGTACTTTTTTCACATTCGTACTAAATTTGTAGGGCTGAGCCACAACTAGCACCCCCTTATTTTTACATAATCGTTATACCGGGCGCTCATTGGGCATCACATGATTATTACGTAAGCTAGATTGTGCAGACACCTGGGCAGCTTTTCCTGTTATCCTAGCGTTCCTATTCCTGCTTCAAAATGAGTTCTCATAGTGACCCGTGTCTCCCTTCGGGGTACACACTTCACTCCGGCTACCCTTCGGTTCCCGAGTATTTACATCTTCGTTCAGCCGCCGGACTATCGGTGAAAACACCGTCCCAGGCGGCCCCCGTTGCTACGGGAAGCTGGTATGGTTGTTATATAACCTCCGACGCGATAAATGGCGACCCACGGCCGATCGGGATGGGACGCGTGATTGCTGATGGCGGCTGGTATTACCATATCGCAGACATAGCTGTCCACCCTGAACACCAAAGGAAAGGGCTTGGGGACGTGATTTTGAAGGCTCTCCTCCAGCGAATCAGCCAGGGGGCTCCGTCAGATGGAAAACCCTACATTTCTTTGTTCGCAGATGAAGCCGGGCGAAAGTTGTATTACAAGAATGGGTTCAAGGATGCGGCGCCTGGTGGGTTGGGCATGGTTTTCAAATCCTAGTTATAGCGCATGTAAGAAGATATGATATGATAAAGCTTCGGCCCCGAGGGAAGAAGGTGATGCAGGAACACTGAGACATCACGCGAGGGTATTAATCCACTGTCCTAACAAGCCTGACGATGGCTGTTGGGCAGTGCGAGCCCACTGCATGAATGTACAGGGGGCCATGGAGCATGCTTCACTATGCTGTACTCATAGTCTAGTCTCTTGCCGCAATATAATGACCGTTTGAAAACCGAATCGACGGCTGATGTTACCCATTCGTCCTAGCGCTGCCAGTGCTTTACTCTCTGAGTATGAGGGGCAAGCATTCGATTGCGCTGGTTTAAGTATCATATGGCACTGCTATCGGAGCTGTTGGCCGGCTGGACATTCTCTCGCTGCCTAGCCGCAACTTTGTGCGTAGTTCATACAGTTAGATTCTTTCAGCGTTCTATTATTTATTGTTAGACCCTACTTCAGAAGATGGACCTTTGCTTTATATACCAAGACTTAATCGTGAAAAGTAGCTAGCTGGTCCTGAGTCTAGGCCCACATTAATGATGAAGTCGTCACTCTTGGGACAGCTTAATCCCTTCAGAATCCATATCATTTCTTTAACTTACTTTATACTCCGTGTTTGAATCGGTACTGTAGCCTACCGAGGTGGGAAAGAATAGAAGCGCAGCATTTCACTATATTAATCCTCAAAATTATATCAGACTAAAAAATGGCCAATATCATTTACGTAGTATCTGCGGCCCTCTTTTAGTATGCGACACTTTTTTGGTATCTTACTACCTCCACCATTAGGGATGGTAATCCCGAAATAGCCAATTAGGGCCGTTTTCCACCGACATTATTTTATGGACTTGCAGCCTTCGCCATCTATACGCGATAGTCCTAAGACGATTTGAACCAATTTCGCCTTGTTTTACCTCGCATAGAAAAAGCGTCTCCGAAGGGGAGACTCCTACACGCTTCGGCCTTAGCTCAAGGCTGGTTATATACAACCTCAACTTCCGGACTGAAGATTTATGCTGGGGCGGAGGTATTGGTCTGGTGAAGCTAGACATGCATGTTGGCATTATAAATGACGATGATAAGGAATTAGAGTATTTGACGACATTGAATGCGCGAGGTTGTGGCAAGACCCTGTACAAGCAGGCGTTCCCGTCGTGGACAGACAGAAAGATGGAGGAGTTCAGGAACTTCCTATGAGCTGAAAATGCAGGCAATAGACATGGCTAATACCTACCTAGTCTCACATAAGTACGCACTGTCTTGGCATATATTCTTTATTCTCTTCCGGTGATGCCATGCTTTCAAAGACTGGAAAGAGAAGTTAGCCAAAAGAGAAGGTGCTAGTGACTGTTACCAGGATTCAATAGTAACTTAGGCCAAGTTAACTCACATTCCCTTTTAGCTTGCTTACTCTCGGCCGTGTCATGCCACAGCCTCAACAGCCATGTAGCGACCAGTGCATCCCTCAACTCCTGTGATATGCTCCTCGTGATGGATACTTTATACTTCTCACCCTCTGTTTCTTCAACGGCTACCTGTCTTCCATTGGAGTCGCTCCACTTGTAACAATTCCGACCGACTTTCCAATTTGGTTGGATATCAAACAACAGGAGTTGTTGCGTGCCCTCGTTGAATAATGGCTTATCCGACGCGGTTTTGTTCGCACTTAACATCGCCTTGAAGGATATCTTTTTAAACCGCGTCTCAAAAGTCTCGAAGCGAATATTCCCTACCATTTCGGGCACTGCGGCAGTGATGTAGTACTTGGCAGGTATGTCGGTCCGGTAATGTGCATTCACAGGGTGTGCAAGGTAGAAAATATGTCGCTTTCTTGATTTGCTAGCAGTAACACCCTCGTTCTGGTTCTCGTGCTCAGAGACATCTTGATCAACTCTTTCGAATGCGACGGACGAATCCTTGTTCGAGATTGACTTGATGTCACTGTTTAATTGGTAAAGTGGTGTTGATGTTGCGGACTCGGCGAGGACAGATTGACCTGACAGAAAGAAGACGGCGGGGCCAAGGATATCATTTGACGGGTTTCTGCCTGTTTTCTTGTACGATTGCAAGCCTGAGTCCATCATCTTGGGCATCGAGTTCGGCGGATTTCTCAATATTGCTCGCAATCCAATGCGTGATTGTCAGACGATGAATAGCGCAGAGGATCTCCAACAATGGAGCTGGAGAGCAGGAGATAGTATCATTTGTAATTTCCGTTGTCTTAGGCCGTAGTAGACCGTAACTGGGGCATAAATACCTTGACCACCTGAGGTCGGGGCCAAGATCACTTGGGTCGCCCGCGTGGGGCGGCCCTGGCCCGCAATGACGTTAGTTACGTAGGTACGTCCTCCAGGGCCCCCGCGCGTACCTATCTCGCTATACATGGTCATACTCAGGCACACCTACCTTAACAATACATATGAAAATAGACCACAATTATACGAGGCACTTTACTTCTCTTTTCTCATGTGAGGATTCCCTGTGCCGATCACATGAGGCGGATGGGCCAAGCTTGGGGGCCGGGCGGGGTGCAAGCCACCAAATGCCACCAACAGCCAAATTTAGGCCAAGATAAGCCCTGGAAGCTAATCTTAAGTAATGAGCACCAGTATTTGCATCATCGCCAAGCCTGGAGATATCTATATTAGATACCTTCAAACTTCAAATATCAGCTTTAAGTGGAACCGGGTGTTCGAGGGGTGTAGTCGTAGGACCCGAGCGCCAAACCAAGCTTCACCCCGGGACCCATCGTAGTGCCTGTCCAGGCGCCCAGGTGAAAGCGGATGCCGTCTTGGCACTAACCCTGGGGTTACGAACATATTCATTGGAGTTTGAAAGTTTATCAAAATAATATTGGCGTTCTTCAACGGACAAGCTGGTCTCGATTTTATGGAGGGTATGAGAAAGTCAAAATGAAGATTCCATTGAGTGCTGCGTTAATTTGCTCTAAATGGATTTTCATTCTTAATGATAGAAACTTCGTTAAGCGGTTGTTCGAGAGAGTTAGGGTAAGGGTGCGTTAAGTGCGCATTTTGCACAATTAACGCACCCCTGTTATTTGAGAGACTTGGGGCAAGGGTGCGTTAAGTGCGCACTTTGCACAATTAACGCACCCCTGTTATTTGAGAGAGTTAGGGTATGGGTCGAAGGTCTCGACCCATACACATACTTAGCGTATTTGCTTAGTTTGTAACCCAATTTGGGGCCCCAGACCCAGTACTAGGTCGTGCGGAAGACTAGACTTTCGCAAAGCTCCAAAAGCCTGAAACCCGACCCGACTCAACCCTCAAAAGGGTTGGGGTTCGGGCCTATTCCTAAAGCTCACAGTAGGCTTCGGGCTTTGGGGTTAGGCCTATAGCTCGAAGAAAGGGCTAAAGGGGGGGG